CACTGTCGTCAAATACTCCATTAAATGAAAGTAGTAATAACCAGTTGAAAACTGGATTTAATAAGATAAACCAATTTGGTGGACGACGCAATCGGTTACATGCTGCTTTGCACACTACAGTCTCCCTGAATGTTCTCTAATTAAATGCTAGTTCCGTTGAGCAAGAAATTCGTTTCACCCCACTGCATCGGTGCAACAGTCGAAAAAAAACAGCAGCATGTCTTTGATCCAAAAATATTACGCACAGCATGGTGCGTTGCTGTGATCATGCAAAAGGGTGCGAGACTTACGGCCATGCTGTCTAACGCGTGCACCTTATGGTTGAAATTTGCTTTAACCCATCTAATGGCTAACTGAAAATCAGCACAATGCATAAATATAAATTTATATATCATTTAAAGTAAAAGTTTTAAATCATTTTCGATACGGCCATTTAGAAATTATCTAAAGATGTCAATTCACTGCATTTACATAATGAAAAGACACCATGCCGTTGTTTCTAGCATCTAGATAGGTTCAAATAAACCATGATTGAATACCTGTTTCCATTTTCACAACTGCGGATAAAACCATTTCTGTTCATACTTTGATCAGATAGTTGTAAACTCTGAGTCTTCATATTTCACTCAGTACACGTGCAGCAGTAGCGGTGGCCCGTTTCAAATGTTCTTTCTGCCTCCAAAAACGAGGCGACTGTTCGACTGGTTGAATGAAACTAAGTGATGTGACAAGTTATCCCTATTCTCAACGGCAGAGTACAACGAACAAAAATTAAAATTAACTTCTGCTAATCAAAATTCAGTATCACTTTCAACATGTTGCCGAGCGAGTACCCTTTCGCCAAATGAACACTCATAGAAAGTCTGTGTATCACCGCCATGAGAGTGGGACAACCTCAGAAGTGCGTCGGTCAACAATGGTAACATTGATCCAGAAGTGAAATCGGAGTACTGGACAAATATCAGCGAATTATGACAAGCTACATGGCCTATGGATGAATTCAACTATAAAAACGGGCACGAAAAAGGTTACCTCCAGCAAGCAGCCATATTAGCCATGCTCATATAAAGTGTCGAGACATCTACTATTCAGAAGAGGCATAAAGCTCGTCAGGACAATGGTTTCAACAATGCTGTTTGCACAGCATCCTTCGAGGGCAAAGGTACCATCTGTGATCACGAACCAGAAGATGCTAACATCAACTATCAGATGAATCTGGTTTCATGAAACTGCCCTAAAAGAGAATCGACTTCTATTGAAAATTTTTAACCTGGGAAACACTGAGGTGTTACAAAACAAGGAAACACCTCTTTGAGGCAGACCCATTGGCGACAATAAATATGCCCTTTGCCACAACAGATAATCTTGTTTAATAATAATCTGAGGAACCATTTCTAAAGGTGAGACATAATAAATCTGGGCTAGTGCTATGTTCAACCTCTGTTAACCTCAGCTGACAATGAACCAAAACAGCGCCAAAAACAAGAACAGCATTTAACTGCGTTCCGTTCTTAAGAACGTTACAAATAACAATATTTTAACTAATCAACACTTGCCCTGTTCAATAACAAACAATCATACAGCAACGCCATGCGCTAAGAAGAAGACGAACATTAATGAACATTAATCTATATTGATACAGTAGTATGTTTAAAGATATTTCAAGTGCAACTGCGCTGAAAATGATAATAATTTGATGGCAGTGTACGAAGAAGATAAAAGTTTCGAAGGTCAACTTAACTTTGTTCAGAAAAGCCGTTTTTTAATCGATGCCGTTAATATGTGTGCAAAATGTGTAAACGAACGTAATTCTTGTTTAAGCTGTTTCCGTCTGAGTAGTTTTTGGAGCAAAAACACAAGGTTGTCGTTACAGTACACGCTTAATACACAGTTGTTTACGTTTCAATCACAAAACAGGGCCAAAGTTGTGTGCCAAAACTACTGAATGAAAAATTTTAAGTCGAAAAGATAACATAACCCTGATGTTCTGGGGTAGATCTCGTGAGTAGGAGCTTTGGTATCACCATTAAATATTTGATATTTAAAGAAAGATACTGGATTGAAACAGCAAAAATGCGGAGTGTAAAGCGAGCAAAATGTATTTCTCACTTTACACTGACTGCTTAATTGCACCGCCCCGTTGGTTCTAGCCGCTTGGGGGGAGGGGTATTTATGCAGGCCACCGCCTCATGGTATTTAGAAAATTTAGATTCACGAGTGTTATTGATTAGTAGGGATCAACATAAAGTTCACGTATACCTATTCGTCATTCACATTTAATACGTCATCGAAATTTTGGACGGATGGTCACACTTTCGGTCACATAAATTCGTTTGGCAGATGTTTTTGCCTAGGATGCTTTCGATCGGTTTACTGGCAAACATGAAAATTGGACAGATCTATTTTTAGAGAGACAAACTGGTGAAATCGAAGGTGACCTTCGATTGAATAACTATGAGAAAGATGAGTGCGATGACGATGAGTTGAGCTGCGCCGTTAACGGCACTAACTACGCTGTTGTTTTGGACAGATTCAAATGTTGAATAAAAAAGAGAGCACGTATTTGTGAAAAAAATCCATTGCTGATGTTGAATCAGTCTGATAATGATATTTCAATTCTAACAGTTCATCTTATCAGTTCGTATAAGTAGTCTTTCTGCCAGGTTTATGACCGCTGTGGAATTACACAGCGTCGAGTAACACGCAACATTGTGCGGTTGTGGACGGAAGCCTGACGGCAGTTGGAAGCTCGTCTGTTGATGTTCAAGTCATTTCAGTAGGAAAATCATTCTCAGGTATAAACGGATGTCGAGGAAGCCCGTGTAACTTGTTAACAATATACGAACAATATATTAAAACAATTATCGGTGCAAAGGATTTTCTCCAACAGAAGGGGGGAATTCCTGTTCCTCAATATCTGCTACAACCGACCCATTTTTAACCCTCAAAATTGGAATGATTATGAACTTTCGCCAGATTTCGACAATCATCAACTTCCGGCAGATGCTTTAGAAAACTTGGTGAATTCAGGTAATAAGGTCTTCTTTCGCGTTCACACGTCAAGATCATCAATGAATAATGCCAGAATCTCTACCCGTTGAACGTAATCGTACAAAGGAGAGTGAAATTTCAAACAGCATTATTGAACTGTCGACATTGTCTGAATCAACATTTATCCGATGAATCAAAAAAGCACTGATTATGCAATCCTGCGAAGATATGAACCGATACAAAGGATACGAACTTTACAACGAATAGTTTTGGATTCAAACGTCACAGCAGCGGCAGACCACATAACCAGCTTCGAAAATAAACTTCGTCCATACTGAAAAAGGCCGGCAAAGCAAAAGCCGAAAAACCGTCGGTACTGCTTAATCACCTAACTGACCAATTTTATTGCTTCGTTAAAGAATAAACCTTATTTTTACAAACTTGTAAGATTTTGATTTATTATTATTACTGCGCTCGTCAGATACGGTAACCGCGGATAAATCGTCGTTCGCCATGTCTAACACTAATCGTGTTATTCGTGAGCCAACTGGAAAATTATTACATTACAACACCGGGTTGGGGTAAAAGCGGGAAATATTTCACGGGAAAGAACAGTGCATAATAAAAAATATGATCAGGTATTGTAAAAAAACAAAAGCTGAAGAAGCAGGTTTAGCCCAAAATCAAAGGTAACGCTGATTGTGGAAATGTTTTTGCTCATTTTGTACTTGTTCATTCAGCCGATAGAGGGAATGAAAGAAAGTTGAAAAGATGGTGAGTGTTGAAGACGCAGTAAAGCGAATAAATGATTAACAGTTAAACAATAGTTAAAAAATGAAACTATCGAATTTCGGCAACAGGAAATAGTGATGTATGGGATGGAATAAAAATGACTGTTAAAGGAGAAGGGAGGGAACAACAACGACGACACAAAAAAAACCGATGAACGTTTACACTGTGCGCTTACCGTAACTTCTGCGAATCGGCTGCCGCTGAACGCCGACCAGACGATAGCTGCCGAAACCGATGGCGATGCCAACGAAGAGACTAAAGACAAGGAACAGGTGGTGGAATCGACAACGGCGATGAAGAACGGCGGCGAAGACCACTGCAACTCGGTCGACAAACAATAACAATGTTAGAACAACAAGCGAACCATACGGCGACGATCGCTTCATTCCCCGAATAAATACATCACAGTTCGCAGAACGGCAGCTTGGCGGGGCTGAAAACAGCATTGATGAGCGAAATTAAAGCACCACTTAACGCGAAAACACGCTTCACACGCCTCACACTAGCTTTACAACAGGAACTATTTATTGGATGAAATCCGTGTCAGGGTAATGTCAGAGCATGCCATTACGACGATGGAGAAGAAAACCTTGTTTACATGCTAAGTATGCCCGTTGTTTACCACAGTTGGACGGTTGTGATCGAAATCCGTCGCGACCGAACCGAGTCGAGTGGTTTCAGGCTGCGTATGAACTGCAACAATTTCCGGTGCACAGGGGACAACTACACGCGAATCGTGTGCGCACAAAAATGCCTTCGATATTCAACAAACAAATGAACTACCTGACGGAACGCCAGAAGAAACGTATAGCGTATCTGCCTCCCAATGACATGACATGCGCGCAGCTGCTCCACCAGCTGACGCATCTCGGTTTCGGTCACGTTACATGTAGCAGCACAAAACATGCTGTTATTATTAAATGTCCACTATATCGCGATCGATAACGTGCAAAAAATGACATACGGTGGTCAGGGATGTAAACATGCGTATGACCTGCGGCACGTATAACATGCGTTGATTTCATATTCGCATATAACACCACTCCAGAGGAAGATAAACGGGGCGAACAATGTGAAGGCAAAGGTCAACTGTCGGTTAGGAATAATGCCGTTCCGAGTAGGCAGCGAAACTCTGAGTGCAGACCATGTGAATAGTGCAGTGACATAAGGCTCATGCTTTTCATCAGCGTCATTTACCATCTACACTAGCCACCGAAACAACAGTTTGCATCAAGCAAGCAAATGACACATCGGTGATACGGTGATACAGCGTCCACAGAGACTATCCGGGTTCCACAAAAAAACAACAATAAACAAGCAAACACAGAGATCGTTTGCCTGCCTAGAATTTCATCGAGCGAACGCGAACGTGAAGGAGATGATCTTTCATTCAGAAAGAATGAAACGATCAGTAGACCACACCTCGACGAGTACCAGCAATCAACATTATTGCAAGAACGAGAGGCCGTTGAATTTATCACCACCATCAGCAATTTTCCATCTACTGCTGAAGACTACCCTAATAAGAATCTGATCGATCCTGGTCGACACAATTCATTTTTTACGTCAGTGCCTAAAAGCGTGCCTGTCGAAGAATCGTAGCAATGCAATGTCCGTCTAAAGCTTAAAGAAAGTCGGATATCCATTTTACACTTCGATGCTCAATCCATCCCAGCAAACAACAACACCAGCTGTGGAAAAAGCCGCAAGGATCTGCGATTGCGCCTGGTAAAATCATCATTCGCGTTGTCTTCATTATGCACTGTTTCATGTCGCTAACATTTGTAAATATCCGTTTCTGCTCTTGCATGCGATCGTCAATTGTCATGTTCCTTAGGGGGCACTCAAGTAAAAATGAATTAATGAATGAGTGAATGGATAATCGAAATCCGGCTGTTTTTGGTGCAACAACAACTTTGCACTTATCGGCAGCCGGAAGCAATAACTATAACTCCGAACTTCTTTTCGAAATATGTCATCGCCCTCCCACTGCCTATATCGGTATTGATTTAAAATTTTTCGACAGGTGCCAACCAGCTTCGTTGTCAGTTCTGGTTCTAGCTGTGTTTGCAACTACGAATGTGCCGCTCAGCTATCAGCTATTTTTAGCATCGGCCGAAGAACCGATACTTATGCAGTTCATCGGTAGCACGTTGTGTCTGAGTAATGCGGCTTGCTCTCTCTACCATCGTCACTGTAGTTCATCCTGTAACTTCCTTCCGTTCAACGTGAATGTTCGCAAGACAAGTTCAGCGAGCATACGACAATGACGAAACAAATTCATCCCTGTAGCTCTGGACGTTGAAGTCTACCATGATTCGCGATCGTTTCATCCAGTTTCAAGTCAGTGTCATTTTCCTGATAAGTTAACTTTAAAACACAAACATTTATCAAGCTCTATTCTGTAAAAAATCCGGTTTAGGTCACCTTGGCAGGCGATCCGTTACTTCAGTCGCTGCAGGAGAGGGGAACGCAAATACCATGGATGGATCTATGGACAACAGATCCTGTACAACAAGAACTTAATCAATGTGGACGACGATTTAACAACAGCATCAATACCATGGTATAATGCCCTGAACAGGGATAAATCGGTGCACTATAATCACTATGGCATTTCTGGTTCAACGACCAAGCTAGAGGCATGTCAGGCTCTCATCATGAATCAATCACCATTATTTATTATTAGTTACTACATATTTTCTTATGAGGTAGTAAAGATGCTACGCGATATTGAAAAACGCATATTGAGCACTGGTTTCCTGTACTACTCAAATGCTAAATATGAGATCACAAAAACATCTGCCCTACGACAAAAAATACCTCGTAGATTCCGCGAGCACAGCCCAACATGTGTTTCTCTAGGTCTTTAACCATCTCCACCGTCATTTATTATCATAGATATGTATGGTATTGAACGAGCAGTTTACTGGCAAGCTCATATCCAGATTTATTTTTACTATACATAACCTCGAGGATACACGTATGTAGTTTGGTTGCTCGTTTCGAAAAGAAAAAAACAAGGTAATAACAACAACAAGATAAAAATAATAATCGTTACGACAGAAGTTTAATATTAAAATACATCATGTATTTTGTCCGAAACCCTGTTATTGACTTTACCTCTCAACTTGCAATGAGTTACGGGACTCGTTATTATGAGAGTTAAGGTAGGGTTCGGGGCGGAGTCGGATTCAATGTCATCTATGGCAAAGACATCAGTTGATCTATTTCGCATGACAAACACTTCAGAATATACGATCTAATTAAGAACCGGTTTGCTTACCGCATAGATTATAAACTTTATCAAAAGATCTATGATAAAAAGGTATGTAAACTCTCGTACAAAAAGAAATATACCGCAGCTTTCGAGCATACACAATAACTTTCAGCTACGGCCAAGCATATCCGTAACGGCATAGGCAGTGATAAGAGTGATTTGAAGATCACAAACCGTGGCAACACTACTGCCGATGTCATAATGCCTGAATCCGCTGTTATTGCAGCCTGTTTTTATTAAAAGATTAAGCTTCAAATATTTCTCATCCGCTTGAAATCTAATTTTTACTAGTTTAACTATAATATGATCTGATAACCTTCAGTCTTTTATTTCCCCTCTTTGTCCTTTATCTACGCTTTTCATTATCCTATCATGGTTACCATACTGATTCGTTTATTTCTCTTACCTACACGGTAATTTTTTCGTTTCAACCCCTTAATTACTTACCTGCGAGTTCCCCGTTAGCCGAAACCACGATATCTCTTTTATACCTCATTAATTTGTGCTGATGAACGAACATCGGTCGTTTACGAAAGCTTCACTAAATTAATACAGTTTCCAGTGTTCTGACCTCCCTTTCTATATCGATTGTCATCAACAGCTAGTCTGTTCTTTTACTCGAGCGGAATCGTTTAAAATAAACAAAGGCATTGTGACATGCAGAAAAACATTAACCCTCAAACTCACCTTGAGTATCATTTAGGAAATGAGCCGACAAAAAGTTAAATATCAACCAAGATTACGCTGTTCTTTTCATCTTGCGCTTAAAAAAACGTCTTTTTCAGATAACAAACGAATGTTGCGTGCACTGAACGCATTTTAGCTCCTAACCGTTTTTTAAGCTGAACCGAATTATGATGCAATGCATTTCTATAAATAAATAAAAATAAGTAAACAAATCACTTATCACTTTGTCAAATTCTTACTGCCGAAATCTCACGCAACTGGTTGCATGTTCTTTCGGTCACCAACAGAATATTCATGCTTTCTTACTGACCAGCAGCAAAACGGTCAGTACACATCTAACGAACCAAGTCACATAAACATCTTAAACATAATCTTCTAGTTAGCTACAAACAGTTTCGTTATGCTTTGTTCCTTCGTCAAAATTCAGGCCGATCTAAGATTTGTACCGTGAGAGAAATGACAAAGAAAATGACGATATCCGTAAAAACAATTCCTCGCTCATTTTAACCAGCCGTCTCAGAATTCATTACAAATCTTCAAAGCGCTGAAAGTAAGGCTGAAAATCAAGTCAGATAGTGATGCGTGAGGCAGACACGAGGTAGGACTTAACACCTCATACAGAAGACTGGATATGCAGCACTTATATCTTTCAACCATTCATGTACGAACCGACGAAGATCCAGGGCCGAGAAACAGATGTCATGTTGGCACAGTTGTCAAAGAGGTCTGTT